CCCCGCTTCCTTACTCTCTGGTGTGAATTACCCAGATGGCTCCTTCTGCAGCTGCTTCTTGGGCAGGGACCATACCTCCCACTTCCCTTTCCTGATTTGTTCCTTTCCTTCAGATCCAGAAGTCACCACCCATGCCCGCCCTGCTCCCTCCATGCCCAGGTCAAACTTTGGCTTGGGTTTGGCCCGTGTGGTTCAGTTTGATTCCTGGGCAGAGCACATGTGCGGGTTGTGGGCTTGATCCCCAACTCATTGGCTGCCTCCTGCACACCCCCTACTGGGGACAGAGCCTGCAACCTGGGCCTGCGCCCTCACCAGACTCGTACCATGAATGCCTCATTCATAGGGCGACCCTCAACCACTGAGCCACACTGGTGGGACTAAGCTTGTTTTTTTTGTGTGTGTGTTTTCTTTTAATATATTTTATTGATTTTACACAGAGAGGAATTGAGAGGGACAGAGAGTTAGAAACGTCGATGAGAGAGAAACATCGACCAGCTGCCTCCAGCACAGCCCCCACTGGGGATGTGCCCGCAACCAAGGTACATGCCCTTGACCGGAATCGAACCCGGGACCTTCCAGTCCACAGGCCGACGCTCTATCCACTGAGCCAAACCGGTCCCGGCTAAACTTGTTTTTATTGTTGGTAATCCTCACTCGAAAATATTTTTTCCATTGATTTTTATTTACTTTTTATTTATTTTAAAATATATTTTATTGATTTTTTACAGAGAGGAAGGGAGAGGGATAGAGAGTTAGGAACGTCGATGAGAGAGAACATCTATCAGCTGCTTCCTGTATACCTCCTGCTGGGGATGTGCCCACAACCAAGGTACGTGCCCATGATTGGAATTGAACCTGGGATCCTTCAAACAGCAGTCTGATGCTCTATCCACTGAGCCAAGTCAGTTAGGGCTCCATTGATTTTTAGAGTGAGTGGAAGGGAAGAAAGCAGGCAGGGAGGGAGGCCGGGAGAGAGAGGAGGAAACTTTGATGTGAGAGAGACACATGGATTGGTTACTTTCTGCACGCACCCCAATCAGGGCCTAGGATCAAACCTGCAATATGCCCTTGACCAGAAATAGAACCCGTGACCCTTTGGTGCACTGGCTGATAGTCTAACCTGAGCAACACAGACCAGGGCAAAGCTATTAAACTTTACAACCCAACCCGGGCAGAGGAACAGGTTAGCAACAAATCATCCCAAAGGTGCGAGTACACTCCAGGGTAGGGGTGTCGAACTCAATCAGAGAAGGGGCCAAAATCTAAAATCCAGCCTAAATCGGGGGCCGAATGGTTTACTGAACAGTCATAAACTGTCATTGTGATGGAAACGCAGCGGAGTGCAGTGATGACAGCGCGGTGCGGGCCACATTGCAAGGCCTGGCGGGACGGATTTGGCCCGCGGGCCTTGTGTTTGACACATGTGCTCTAGGGGCTTTTAGAGAGGCACCAGGGCAAAAGATCTGAGATGGCCACTCAAGCCGGGAAATCCTCTGGTGTGTGTGTGTGTGGTGGGAGGGGGGAGGGGAGGATTGTGGCTAGAGCAGTGTCTACGTGTTTGGTGGGTGGGTGTGAATGTATTTGTGAAATGGCTTTCCTTTGACTCAAATCCTTCTCACCTAGTATCAGATAGGGCGATGGAGCTTGTTAAAGGGCAATTCTAGGTCAGACCAGTGATTAGAGGAATTCCCCCTCCCCCACTCCCTCACTCCACCCCCTCACCCCACCCCCTCACCCCCTCACCTCCCACTCCCTCACCCCTCCCTCCTCACCCCTATCCCCCCACCCCCTCACCTCCCACTCCCTCACCCCTACCCCCTCACCCCCTCATCCCCACCCCCTCACCCCCACCCCCTCACCCCCCACGTGGAGTAATTTAGCTCCTCTCACAGGTTCTGGACCCCTGTGGTGGCCGGGCAGGCTGCTGCCTGTCTTTTGTCCCTGCCTGCTTCTCCTTCTCACCACCCCTCCCTAATCCCCAATCAGCCCTGCTATCTGCTCTGCCTCAGACCTGAGGTCAGCCCCGTCTGAGTCAACTGTTTCTGGTCCAAAGACAAGCCCCTGCCTGAGGCAGCTCGCCGAGGGAGAGGGGAGCTGTCTGTCAGCAGCCCTCGCGGCCCCTGCCTCGGCGTCCTGGAAAGAGCCTCTCCAGAGGGTGGTCCTGGCCCTGGATGGGCTCCTTCCCCCTCCCTGAGTGACCGTGGGCAGCTGGCCTCTTTGCTCTGGGCCTGCTCCTGCCTCCGTAAGAGAAGACAGTAATCCCAGGACTGCTCTGAGCACCAAATGGAAAAACATCATTTCCCCAACGTCAGTCCTTCTATTTCCCATCAGTTTTAACCAGGCCTGCACATCACCTGCTCTATTTTTTATTTGCTTTCTTTTGTCACTAAGTCAACTTTTAATGGTCTCACTTTATACAAAATACGTGTTGCTAAAGAACCCAGAGCTCATACAATAAATAGATTCACATAGGCAGCCCCTCTTGTTCCTTTGAATTGATCCATTTGGAAAAACTCCTGGCTCCAAATCCTTCAGTTCTTGGTCTTTTGAGCTGGCTGTCTTCTTTCCTAATGCTTAACTATTAAAATATAGTTAAGTCCTTCAGCCTGTGGCAGCGTGCGTTGGGAGACCCTGCAGTACGAATGGGCAGCTGGGCCCATGCCCGACCTAGGCAGACGGGCAGTGGCTGTGAGCCATGGGGAAACCTCTGCCTGGGGGGGTCACTAGCCACTTGGAGAGCCAGGACCAGGGCCCTCCCTGCTGCCCACCTCAGGCCCACCCCAGAGAGGAGACCGGGACTCAGGGGATGGGAGCCCTAGGCCTGACTGAGAGCCAGCTCATCCTGGTGTCACCTTCAGGCCATTGCCCTCAGACACCGCACGCCTCCCTCCAGCTGGGAGTGCTGGGGAGGCTGGGACCCGGGAAGGAGTGAGGGCAGAAGGCTGCTCTTCAGCACAGCTCAGGCCGCTGGCGCTGTGTGGCCAGGCGGGCCTGACTCCATGAGCTCGCAGTGGCCTGTCCTCACCAGGATTTAAGTGTTTGGGGACTGGAGCTTTATCTCTTCAAAAACGAGCCCATTAAGTTGTGCCATGGGGCTCTACATCTTCAGCATAGAAGGCCCTTCCCGCTCTCGGGGGAGGGGGTTGGTTCCAGGACCCCTCCTGACGCCAAAATCCTCAGATGCTCACGTCCCTTATGTCACATAGTGTAGCATTTGCATATAACCTCCCCTCCCCTGTACGTTAAGTCACCTCTACAGTACTTGTAAGACCTAATACAATGCAAATAGTTGCCAACTGCATTGTTTAGGAAATAACGACAAGGAAAAAAATAGTCTATACATGCTCAGGACAGACACAGCTATCTGAGGCCTAACTACGAAGTACCTGTCAGCAGCACCGGAACTTCTCTTTCTCTAATATTTTCTCTCTGAGGTTGGTTGAATCTGCATATGTGGAACCACAGATGCAAAGGGCCAGCCTTGTAGTCAGGGCAACTCCAGGACTGTCACCCCGGTTCCCCAATGAAGAAGTGGGGGTTCAGAGAGATGAGCCCCCGGGATAGTATGGAGTGGAAGGCAGTGAGAATATTTACTGAACAGCCAGTTTGTGCTGGCCCATTCCCACCTTGCCTGGCTGGTCCCTGGAAAGCCCTGTGGGCTGTGGATATTAGCTGAGTAAGCAAGGATAGGAGTCCTGCCCACACATCACAGGCCCCCAACCTCCAACCAACTTACCTTCCAAGTTGTCAAAGGTCTGTTCCCACAGAAAATATTATTATGGTATTTAGGTATTCAGCCTTGTCCAAGGAGAGCAAATTAACCCACAATATCCCAGAGCATTAGCAAAAATATTACACTGCAGTCGTCCAAACAGAAAAGCAATAGCATTTGGCAAGAAATTACTTTTTGCCTTGAATGCATGTCTGAAACTCTGTGGCAGGTACCGTATTTTTCGGACCATAAGACGCACCGGACCATAAGACGCACATTTTTCCCCCCAGAAGTGGGGGGGAAAAGTCCCTGCGTCTTATGGTCCAAATATAGCCTACACATATACTTTAAAAAAAAAAAGTTTTTTTACTTGCCCGGCTCTGTGTGGTCTCTGTGTGCTTGCCCGGCTCTAAATGCTGCTGTTTACTTTACAGGGTTGATTACATGTGTTTATGACTGTGATGTTGGGTTTTAATGCACATAAAATATTTTAGGACACTATTTGTTTCAGAATCTTTTTTTCTTCATTTCCCTTCTCTAAAAACTGGTGCGTCTTATGGTCCGGTGCGTCTTATGATCTGAAAAATACGGTAAACGAATGAACATAATTCCCCCTGCCCTCCTATTTTAAAATGTAAAGGAAGAAAAATGGTATGGGAAGGGGGGGGGGGCAGTGGGGGTCAGGCTGGGGAAAGGACAGTTCCAGACAGGGAAGCTGGGAGAGGAAGGAGCTGGGAAAGGACCAGCGCAGGCTGAGGGGCCAGCCGGATGGCAGGGGCTGCATTTTCTCCTGTTCGAGCTGCTGGCCCCGAGGAGCACAGCCTCACAGAGAGGGGGCAGAGGCCCTGGGAAGTCAGGGTGCAGGGTGACCAGAGGCCCCAGAACAAGAAGGGGAGAGCAGTTCTGCCAGGAGGACCTTCCAGGGAAGAGAAGTGTGTTTCCATGGGTAGAATCAGAAATGGCTTAAACCCCGGCCACCACGTGCAAAGTCCTGGCGACTGGAGCGAGAGGACCGAGCGCCCCCGTCCTCGGAGGAGCAGCCTCGGGCTCTAGCTGCTTCTGGCTCCTGAGAAGACATCCGGCTCCAGTCCTGAGCCCACTTCCCAGCTGAGCGACTGGCGATGGTTTCCCTCTCCGGGCCTCCCTCCTCCGGGAGGTGATAATCAAATTTCCCTCCCTGGGCTGCGGTGGAGGACCAGTGCACTGACACCTACAGAAACTCATACCGTGTCTAATACCAGCGGGTCAGGTAATCAATCCCTGCTGCCTCCCCGCCTGGCCAGCTCCCTCACTCCCCGAGGCTGAGGCTGAGGCTGAGGCTGAGGCTGAGGCGGCAGCCCTGGCCACAGCCCCCTCTGTTCGCGGTCACCAGCTGCAGGATTGCCTGGTGTAAGCGGTGTGAAGAGAGGAGAGGCATGATTCTAATTTGAGATCAGAGGTGCCGGACAGCTGGTCGGGCTGTGGGTGGCCTCTCCCTCCCACCGAGGAGCCCTCCAGGAGGGGGACATGCAGTGGGGGTGGGAGCGTGCAGCGGGGTGGGGGCGTGCAGTGGGTTGGGCACTGCGCCCAGAGCAAAGCAGACAGCCCCAGCCAGGCCACTGAGACGGCCTTACGTGGTCTCAGGTCACAGCACAGCTGGAAGGAGCTCCAGATCCCTGGCTCTCACCCTCATTTCACAGACGAGGGGAAGGCGCAGGGACGGGAAGGGCTTTGCAGTCGGTCACACAGCCAGGCGCAGAAGCGCTGGGCCTAAAACCAGGCGTCCTAACGCCCGGAAGCCCCCTGATTAGGAAACACTTGCTCATGACCATGAGCATTTGACAAATTTGTTTCCAGTCTTTTATTTACTTACTAGAGGCCCAACACACGAAATTCCTGCAAGCGTAGGCCTTCCTCCCCTCGGCTACTGGCACCGGCTTGGCACAGGCTTCCCTCGCAGAGGGAGGCCCCGCCCATTCGCCATAGCCCACCGCTTGGTGGCCTAGACCTCCCTCTGTGGGCGATCCTGGGTGATAGCTGGGCCCCGGACCAATCGCACTGCACCTGCTTTGGCTGGCCTGGCACCAGTGGGTGTCATAGTGTGGTCATGGATGGTTATCCAGGAGGCGGTTCCACTGTTTGGTTAATTTGCATATTATGCTTTTATTATATAGGATTTTTATTTGTAGATATTTTTACTGGTTTTAGAGTGGAAGGGGGGAGGAGAGAGAAACATCAATGATGAGAGAGAATCATTGATCAGCTGCCTCCTGCACACTCCACACTGGGGACTAAGCCCACAGCCCAGCACGTGCCCTGACTGGGAATCAAACCATGACCCCCTGATTCCTGGGTCAACACTCAACCACTGAGCCACACTGCCCAGGCTTACACTTTAAGTATATGAAAATTTTATTTGTCAATTATATCTCAGGAGAGCTGAAATGGAAAGAAGAAAATGCGGGCCAGAGCATGGTTGCACTGGCAGGGCCTTCGGGCCTGAAGATGGGGGCTTGGCCGGGCCCAGCACCGCTGAGGGCCGGGGGTGAGTGAGTTCTCCAAGAGGGGCCTGGCCGGAGGAGGGGGCCTGGAAGACTTCCTGGTAGGGGTGAGAGGGAAAAGCACAGGCGGAGCATTGGGAGGTCAGCAGGAGAGCCAGGAGAGCGTGTGATTCCTGAGGTCAAGGGTAAAGAGGGTTTTCACGGAAGAGGGTGTGGTCACCAGTGTCAACGCAGCTAAGGAAGGAGGACCAGGGGCCTCCCTCCCTGATGGGAGGTGCACAGACCCTCTCCCAGCCCGGGGCCGGCTGTGACCAGAGACCCTCGGGCGGGCTCTGGTGCTGAGGGAACCGCCCTTGGGGCTGGATGGGTGTGGGCCCTCCTCCGGCCCCGGGCACAGGCCGGAGACTCCCTGGGCAGAAACGGGTGGGACGGAAACCAAACAAACTGCTCCTTTAAAGCCACCTGGAACTCGTGTTTCAGGAATGTCTGGGTTTGGGCTTCTTTCCTGCAGCAGGATATTTAAAGAAAGCAAACCTTTTCAAGCTGCAACTCCAAAGCAAAGAGCCTCCTGTGTGGCTCCTTCTGGCCTCTGCTCCGAGAACAAACCTCCTTTACTTTCTGGTCTGGACCGTGTCCAAGGCCGACAGGAACTCCTGGCCGCGGTGGGTGCAGCCCAAGTCCCGGCCGAGGGCTCAGAGGGAGCCGGGCGCAGCCAGGCCTGGAGGCTCTCAGAGCTGCCACGCCAGGGCGCTCCGAGGCCAGGCGCCCGGGGCGGCTGACGGACGGCGGTGCCAGCGGGGAGCAGAGGCGCCCACGTTCCTGCCCGGAGTCCGTCCGCCTCCTTCCCAAGGGCAGACACTTGGTAGGAGAGAGAGGGAGCTGAGAAGTCACCCACGGAAGGTGTGACCCGGGCGTAGCCTGTCTGGGGTTTAAAATAAGATGGTCCATCCTCGGCCACTTCTAAATGACTCACATCCAGAGTCTGCAAAAGGAGGCCCAGAGGAGGGAGACAGGGACCACACGGAAAGGGAGACACTCCTGCCCGGCTCCCCAGCCCGAGGCTGACCCTCCACCCGCCGCTCCCCTGACAGCCGCCCACACCCGCCCGGTGCAGCTGCACAGGAAGCCCAGGTCCAGGGTCTTCACCGAGCGCCAGGCAACCTGCCCGCGGAGAGGGGAGGCAGATGTGGGACAGCGGCTCGGGGGGGGGGGGGGGGGGGGCAGGCGCGTTCCCAGCCACCGCCAGGAACCCAGAGCCTGCTTTCCCACCGGCTCTCCTGCCGCCCAATCTGCGCTCTCTCCACGGCCCCACGGCCGGCCAGGGCCAGGAAAGGGCCGTGTGTGTGTGTGTGTGTGTGTGTGTGTGTGTGTGTGTGTGTGTGGAGCATGCCTCTCCCTTCTGCCAGGGCCGGGGGAACAGGTACCGTATCCTCCCTGTTGGCCAGATGGCCAAGGTCCTGCTCAGAGGTCAGTGCTCCCGCTTGGTGACCTAAGGTCCCCACCCCCACTGCTAGGGGGCAGAGGAGGTTCCGGTAAAGGGCCCTCGGGGGCACGGAAGAAGTCCTGCCCAGGGCCCCGTCCACCTCAGGGCTTGTCCTCAGACCCAGGACTGTCCTCCGCTGGTCCCTGCGTCATGGGCCCCCTGGCAGTCAGGGCAGGAGCAGCCGCGAGGATCCTTCGGAAAACTCTGCTTGCCGACAGGGAGATGTAGCCAGGCTCACGTCCACAAAAGGAACAGGAGGGCCCGGCCCGAGGGCTCAGTGGTTGGCGTCAGCCTGTGAGCCAGGAGGTCACGGTTTGGTGTTCCCCGTCGGGGCCCATGCCCAGGTGGCAGGCTTGATCCCCAGTGTGGGGCGTGCAGGAGGCAGCTGTTTGATGCTTCTCTCTCATCATTGATGCTTCTCTCTCTCTCTCTGAGATAAAATACACACACATATATATATATTTTATAAAAGGACAGCAGCATCTTCCTCCCAAGTTGTTCTGAGGATCACATGGCTAATACAAGCCAAGCACTCAGCCCGCAGTCAGCATTCAAACCGGTGCTATTCTTGTCCTCGCTGTTGCGATTTTAGTCACCAGAGCCAAGCTACTCGCCTCCCCGGGAGGGAGGGGCCAGGCAGGCCTCTGACCCATCTGGCTCCTCACCTGGGGCGGCTGAGGCTGAGCAGCCGGGGACCTGGGCCCGGCCGCCTGGCCTCTCGGGAGACGTGGAGACGTGTGATCTGGGGAAAGCCCTGAGGACCCTTCCCCGTCTCCTGCTCGCTGAGAAATGGGCTGGATAGCCCGTAGGCGATGCCCGTTTGGGAATCCCCGATTTCAGCAGCGAAGCAGGCGGCCCTCTCGGCCGGGACGCGTGCCTGGCGGAGGAGGAAGCCCGGGTCCGAGACAAAGGCGCCCTGTGCAGGCCTGGCCCCGGGCTCGCGGGTTCCACACCGGCCTGAGGGCTTCCAGGAATCTCAGTTCAAAGTTACTACTTGAAAGTCAGACGGTTAACGCTGTGTTCCTGGAAGCTGCAGTCCAGGAAAGATGGGTGGGGGCAGAGGCAGAGAGTAGGAAGGTCATGACAGGCGGTGAGGAGAGGAGGAGGGGGAACGGGGAGAGAAAGGAAGGAATGGGAAGGTGAGAAGAGGGGAGGCGGACAGGCCGGGAGAGACAGCGGGGAGACGGCAGCCTGGGCAGGGGCTGTGGGCAGTGGCGCTCAGTGTGGCCCAGACACAGGGCTCAGAACACCATAGACTTCCTTCAGCCTGGGGCACTCTGCCCCCCCCCCGCCTGGGGCACTCTGCCCCCCCCCGCCTGGGGCACTCTGCCCCCCCGCCTGGGGCACTCTGCCCCCCCCGCCTGGGGCACTCTGCCCCCCCCCCGCCTGGGGCACTCTGCCCCCCCCAGCCTGGGGCACTCTGCCCATTCCCCCCCCCCTCCAAACACACACACACACACACACTCACACACACACACACACACAAAAACAGGAACAAGGTGCTTTCTTTCTTTTTTCTTTTTTTTTTTTCTTTTTTTTTTAATATATTTTATTGATTTTGTACAGAGAGGAAGGGAGAGAGATAGAGAGTTAGAAACATCGATGAGAGAGAGTCATCGATCAGCTGCCTCTTGCACACCCCCTACTGGGGATGTGCCCGCAACCAAGGTACATGCCCTTGACCGGAATCGAACCCGGGACCTTTCAGTCCCCAAGCCGACGCTCTATCCATTGAGCCAAACCGGTCCCGGCCTTTTTTCTTTTTTTAATCCTCATCCAAGGCTATTTTTTTTTTATTGGTTTTTAGAGAGAGTAGAAGGGAGAAGGAGAGACAGAGAGAAACACTGATGTGAGAGAGACATGTCGATTGGTTGCCTCCTGCAGCCCCTGACCAGGGCCCAAGAGCCTGCAACTGAGGTACATGCCCTTGACAGGAATCGAACTCGGGACCCTTCAGTCTGCAGGCCGACACTCTATCCACTGAGCCAAACCGGCCGGGGCAGGGAGGTGCTGCCTTAACCAGAACTCTCAGCCCAGCCTCCATTCCCCTTGGGCCCGGGGGCAGCAATGCTGCCTGACTTTCTGTAAAATCTCACCGCCAACTCCTCTACAAAGCAGCGTCCTTCCCCTTTGCTGCCCGGCCGCTGGGAGACCCACACCACCCCGGGCGGGAGCGGCTGCTGCGCCATGTGCCTGGCGCCCTGAGGCCCCTGGGTCGCGCTATGCCGTCGATGACGCACCTGCCATGGGCCAGCGCACGTGCCAGTCTCTGCCCCTGCGCTGCACCCCGAGCCTGGGCGAGGGGCTGTGAGGTAGGTGTCCGTCTGCACCCCGAGCCTGGGCGAGGGGCTGTGAGATAAGTGTCCGTCTGCACCCCGAGCCTGGGCGAGGGGCTGTGAGATGGGTGTCCGTCTGCACCCCGAGCCTGAGCGAGGGGCTGTGAGATGGGTGTCTGTCTGCACCCCGAGCCTGGGCGAGGGGCTGTGAGATGGGTGTCTGTCTGCACCCCGAGCATGGGCGAGGGGCTGTGAGGTAGGTGTCCGTCTGCACCCCGAGCCTGGGCGAGGGGCTGTGAGATAGGTGTCCGTCTGCACCCCGAGCCTGGGCGAGGGGCTGTGAGATAGGTGTCCGTCTGCACCCTGAGCCTGGGCGAGGGGCTGTGAGGTAGGTGTCCGTCTGCACCCCGAGCCTGGGCGAGGGGCTGTGAGATTGGTGTCCATCTCTGGGGGAAGCCGGCAGGGCTCCGAATGCCAGGGCAGAGCGGCTGTGGCGCTCAGTGCGGTGGGAAAGGCTGGCATGGCTGGGGCAATGCCACGCGGCAGCAGGTGCCCCTGGGGAAGTGGTGTTTGCTCAGCGCGAGCTTTCTCGCCTCTAACACGAGAACAACGACGTCAGAGGGCTGTGAGGAGGGAGAAAGGCGATCTCAGGAACCACTCAGCACAGAACCTGGCACGGAAGGCGCTCAGTAAAAGTTCTGTGACCCAGTCCGGGGCCCTGGCACACCTCCAGCCCAGGGCCACGTCCTCTGCCTGCAGGAGCTGAAGAGGAGGGCACGGTGCTGATGGAGCACCACCTGGGATGCCAGGCGCTGTGCCCAGGCGCCCAGGGGGGTCAGCCAGGCAGGGGCCTGTGCCCTGCGAGGTATTGGGACTCTGGCCCCCGATGTCAGGACCCTGCCGCCACCTCCTCTGCCCCACCGGGCCCTGCCCTGCCCCACCCTCAGCCCGCGGCAGGGCCCCTGGGTGAGGCGGGCAGGGCAGGGCCCAGCGGGAGGCGGCAGGGCGTCTTTATCGCTCCCAGCACGGGGCTGGAGGCAGAGTTAAGCCCAGACTCCTTATCAGCATGCCAAGCCTGGTGCCGAGATGCAGGGCCTGGCTCTGGGGCCCGGGGGCTGGGAGGCAGGGCCCCGTGGTCACTGCCCGAGTCCCTCCTCCTCTGCAACGGTCCCCTGGGAGGACGGAGAGTGCCCCCTGCCTTGAGACCGTGTCATCCCCACCCTAAGCAGTCCCTGCCCCGTCCAGCTCCCACCTGTCACAGGGGCAGTGGAGCGACCCCCGAGTCCCTGGGACCCCCCGGGAGGTAGCCATGGCCATTGTGTGTACGGACAGCGAACCTGGGCCAGGTGGGAGGAGGAGACGTGAGCTGAGTGACTCCTCCCAGCTCAGTGCTCTTCCCTGCCCACACGCCCTGACCTTCTGGAAGGTCCACGAGGGAGGCGATGAGGGGTGGCTGCTGCCGGGCTACCCGTCGGGGGGCGGGGGGTCACTCTGTGGCTGCAGCCCCGGGGGAGGCAGGGGCAGCGTGGCCAACAATGGACGCCGACAACACGCCTCCTTCTGTCAGCGGGACTCCAGAGGCGCGTCTGAGAACGGGGGCACGTTCCACCGAAATGGGGAGGGAGGAGGGAAGGAAGGTGGGTGAGCTTCTCGGAGGCCTCCCGCCTGGCAGGAAAGACTATCTGAGAGCTCCCTGCATGGCAGAGAGGGGGTGGGGGATCCACAAGAGCGGTGGGTTAGGTCCCACCCACCCCTAGAGGAGCCGAAATCCTAGGAATCTGAGGCTGGCGGGGACTGCAGAGACCCAGATCCTCCCCCAACAGCAGGAGGGTCCCGCCTCCTCTGAGCACCTGAGGGAAGTCACATCTGTGCTCTGCTGTCAAGGCGCGGACTCACCCCGGCTCAGCACGTCCAAGGCCTGAGCCGGGAGAACCCCCATGTAGCCGGATGGCAGGGACCTGGTATTGAAGGCAAAACCACAGGCTCACAACGTAGACTTAACACCTGATCTGCCTGCAGCTCCACCTCCCCAGAAAGCAGGCTCACCAGCCCGGGGTTTTCTTGTCAAGCTCCAACAATGCCATCTGTCAGGGAGGCCCTCTCTCCGGCGCCCAGGGGAGGAAAAGGCAGTCTGAGTGACAGCCCTCCTGTGCTCTTCCTGCCCCCAAAAGACATTGAGGCCCCAAGTAATCTCTCTTTTCTTTGGCTCATAGCTCTCTGGCCCCATTCTTCTTCTTATAAAAACCTTCCTTTTTATACCGCCCCTCAGAGGGCAGGCTGTGCAATTCATTAATCATGTAATCGAGCCAATGAGGCCCTGGCCAGTGTGGCTCATTGGCTGGGTGTCGTCCTGGGCACAGAATGGCTGCTGGTTCGATTCCTGGTCAGGGCGCATGCCTGCGTTTCGGGCTCTATCCTTGGCAGGAGGCTTACAGGAGGCAGCTGATCGATGTTTTCATATTTGATACCTCTCTCTCTCTCTCTCTCTCTCTCTCTCTCTCTCTCTCTCTCTCCTTCTTTTTCTTCTTCTTCTCTCTGTCTCTCCCTCTCCCTTCCTCCTCTTTCTCTAAAAATCAATTTTAAAAATCTTTAAACTAAAAGTTTAAAAACGTTAAATATAAAAAAAGCCGATTAGATCTTCAAGTTTACTCAGTTGAATTCTTGTTTCTAACACCAGTAAGTGAAGTCCTGATGACCAGCCACCCAGCTCTGAACCAGCCAGGACAGTGAGGGGGTGGGCCTGGGGCCTGGCCTTCTCAGCCCCCTGCCCAGCGGGGCTCCAGGTCGATGCCACTCCCGAACCAGCCGGTTCCATCAATACCCGCCTCCAGGCCGTGGCCCAGGTTCCTGGGTCCCTCCCTCTGGCCCAGGCCCAGGCCCCGGCCACCCCAGGGACTCTCGTTCGGGACTGGGCCTGAGGGCTCTGTGGGGGCCCGTTTCACCAGCCTGGGCTGGGCTGTGCCCCTGAACACAGACAAAGAGACTCCCACAGACCGTGTTTCACATGCACACCCAGGCTCCGGGGAGAAAAGGCCTCGTACCTTCCTTCCTCGGTCATGTGACCACGGGCAGCGGGCCTCCCGGGCGGCCTGGGGCTGCGACAGCCGTGCCCGTACCTGCAGGCTCCGGGCATTTTCCCCGCGGCCACCTGAGCTCTTACAGCACGGCTCACACCGGCTGCCCTCTGTTCGCGGGAGCAGCACTCTGCACCCTCCCAGAACCCAGGGGCAGTGCTGAGTTAGGCGGAGCTGAGAGCTGAGAAAAAGCATGAGCCTCAGGGGGTTTGGGGAGACACTGGGACCAGGGCAAAGGCGATGAGAAATAGCTGGAGCGGCTGGGGTTGCACAAGGCTGGCAGGAGCCTGCAGAGCCAGAGCCAGAGCCAGAGGGGCCCGGGGCGGCCGGGGCGGCCAGGGAAGGGCCCTGGGGCCGCAGCTGGGGGAGTGGGAGGAGGGAAAGGCCGCCTCTCAGAGCCCGCATGTGGGCACTGGAGCGCCCTGCACGGTAGGTCACCTGAGAATGAGCTCCTGCCCACACACACACACACACACACATGTCAGGCGCACACAGGCACACCCACCTCCACGGCCCCATAGTGCCGTCTGACTGCTTCACCTTCACCACACCCCGTCTCCACCCGGCTCCGAGGGAAGCCGTGTGGCTGCTCCCCATCCTCTCCTCCTAAGGCTGCGGTCCTGGAATTCCGGATGGCAGGATCACATGGGCACTTGCTAAAAATTTCGATTCAAATTCTCACCCTCCCCCCCCCAACACACACACTGATCGATGTCCTCATATTTGATCTCTCTCTCTCTCTCTCTCTCTCTCTCTCTCTCTCTCTCTCTCCGTCCCTCTCCTCTCTCTTCCTCTTCCTTTCTCCTCTTTCACTAAAAATAAATTTAAAGTAAAAATAAAAACATTAAATATAAAAAAGCCAACCAGATCTTCAAGTTTACTCAGTTGATTTCTTGTTTTCAACACCAGTAAGTGAAGTCCTGATGACCAGCCACCCAGCTCTTGAACCAGTCGGGACAGTGAGGGGTGGGCACGGCAGCTACACCCCATAATTCTGGGTCGGCGGCCTGGGGGCCCAGGTAAATCTGCGAAGGGGTCTTTGGAGAAACTCCGGGTGTTGTTAGCCGTGCGGTGGAGAAAATAACGATAATCATACTGCTGCGTTCATTGTGTGCCTGCTGTGTGCCACCTGTCTTCACCAACCGCCTCACCCACTCCAGCCCCTGACCACCTTTCAGGAAGGAGCCGTTATGTCCAAGGGGAGCGGCAGTTGCCTGCATATTCCCGCATACACCACCCCCTCCAGGGGCCGGCAGACTCACAGGACCCAGGGCTCTCCCCAGGGACAGGGCCTGACCAACCAGCAGGGAGGGACCCAGTGAGACCCCCCTAGCAGGAAAGCAGCAGGGCTGGACCAGGGAGAAGACCCCACTCTCCACCTCCAGGGACGAGGCATTGGGGGGGGGGGGGGGGGCTGACCCACCCAGGCAGCTCCAGCGCCTCGGGTTGGACCAGGCCAGGCTTGGCGAATTCCCAGGCGGCGGGCGCCCCCTGCAGCCAGACCTTGGCGTGGCAGGGCGGGGCCCGATCCTGCCAGAGGCTGACAGCCCTGACAGCCCCGCAGGGAGGCGGCCAGGACAGCTCCTGCGGCTTTTAGGGTCGCCCCATCTCTCTCTCTCTCTCTCTCTCTCTCTCTCTCTCTCTCTCTCTCTCTCTCTCTCTCTCTCTTTCTCTCTCTTTAATTATTTTGCCTCTACAATGTCATTTCCCTCATCTTTCTTTCTTTCTTTCTTTCTTTTTAAATATATTTTATTGATTTTTACAGAGAAGAAGAGAGAGGGATAGAGAGTTAGAAACATCAATGAGAGAGAAACATCGATCAGCTGCCCCCTGCACCCCCCGCCCCCCCCCACTGGGGATGTGCCCGCAACCAAGGCACACGCCCCTGACGCAATTAAACCCGGGACCTTTCAGTCCGCAGGCTGAAGCTCTATCCACTGAGCCAAACCGGTCTCGGCTGGTCACCCCATCTTAAGAAGGAGAAATCCAAGTGTCTTGCCCAAGATCACAGAGCCAACTCGTGTTGGACCCCCTCCCCGCCCCCCCCCCCCGGGTCTTTGCCCGGCCCCTCCCACCCGGGACACACACCGCAGAGCCATGCGCAGCAGGAGAGGGGTGTTTAATGGGCTTTGGGGGGCGGGGCTCAGGAGGTGGGGTCCGGGCGCGGGGCCTGCGGCATCGCGGGGGGCGCAGGGCAGCCTCATCGGGGGGCCTCCGGGGGCCGGAGCAGCGCTGGGCCTGCGTGGAGCTGAACGGCGTGGGCTGGGGGTCTTCTCCCCGCCCCCGCCCCCGCCCCCGCCCAGGGCGTCCTGCCGGGGACCCAGAAACTGTCCACCGCCTTCTCCCCGCCCGGGACCGAGCAAAGGGAGAGGGCTGGCAGCCTGGAAGGTCCCGGCAGCCCCAGTGCATTCCTAGGCCTTCCCTCCATAGGTTTCATCTACTGGGCTTCAGGGGAAAACAATGACTCTAAATAAAGGAAACGGACCCCTAACTGGCAAGCCCCTGGGCTGGTTCCAGTCCTCATTACAGCTGGGGAAACTGAGGCTCCGGAAGGCTGAGTGACTGCCCAAGACTGCCCAGCCGGAGTGGGGCGGGCTGTGTGTCCAGGAGCCCCCGGTGTTACAGGGGCGGGGGCTGTGGCCCCGCTCCCAGCACTCCTCCTCCTGGAAGCCCCTCCCCGGAGCTCCGGGGGCTCCAGCTCCACAGCCAGCCCAGCAGGGGGATGGGGGCTCCCCCAGCCCTCTCCCTGCACCTGTAAGTGCGGAGGCACCCCTCTCCCAGCGCGCGCACACACACACACACACACACCCCTCTCCCAGCACACACACACACACACACACATACACCCCTCTCCCAGCACACACACACACACACACACACACACACATACACACACACCCCTCTCCCAGCACACACACACACACACACACACCCCTCTCCCAGCACACACACACACACACACACACCCCTCTCCCAGCACACACACACACACACACACACACACCCCTCTCCCAGCGCACACACACACACACCCCTCTCCCAGCGCACACACACACACACACACACACCCCTCTCCCAGCACACACACACACACACACACACACACACCCCTCTCCCAGCACACACACACACACACACACACACACCCCTCTCCCAGCACACACACACACACACACACACACACACACCCCTCTCCCAGCGCACACACACACACACACACACCCCTCTCCCAGCACACACACACACACACACACACACACACCCCTCTCCCAGCGCGCACACACACACACACACACACACACACCCCTCTCCCAGCACACACACACACACATACACACACACACCCCTCTCCCAGCACACACACACACACACATACACACACACACACCCCTCTCCCAGCACACACACACACACACATACACACACACACACCCCTCTCCCAGCACACACACACACACCCCTCTCCCAGCACACACACACACACACACACACACACACACACACACACACGCACTCACCTCCTGGGGGGCTGCAGCCTCCCCGCTCCCCGGGGGAGCAGTCCCGGGCCTGTGGAGAGCCGGAGGTGGGGGCTGCTGGCCAGAGGCAGGCCCCTGGGCGGCTGCGGGGCCGAGAGCCCAGGGGCACGTTGGGCAATGCAGGTTCTGCGAGAGCGAGAGCGCCCTGTCCGGCTCCACCACTCTCTGCAGCAAGACAGCCTTGGCCATGTACCTGGGGAGCAACAAGCCTGGCACAAGGGGTGCTGGCCCCCCTGGCTGGTCCCCATGCCTCCTCAGCCCAGGGCCTGGCCCTGCAGGGAGCTGGGGCCGGTCTTGTCCGGCCGGCCGGGTCCCTCCCCTCCATGTCTTAGGACAAGAATGCAAGGAAGCAGGGAGGCTCCCGGGCTCCCACAGAGCCCTGAGGGAAACCTCAGAGAACGGAGAGGGAGGGTCTGGGAGCGGTGCTAAGGGGCCCGGGGAGATGGCCCAGCTTCTCCCCCTCACACCACCAGCCCCGTGTGCCACTGCTTGGACCTCCGGTTTGCCAACTTACTTGGGTCCCAGCGGTGCACAGATTGCTAAATACCAGTTGCTGGCGCAGCCCTGGTCAAAGGGGTTGTATCCACACAGGTCGCGGCACTGGAGCGGGGTGTAGATAGGAAGAAGAGCTCAGAGCCAGCGGGACTGGGCAGACCACCCCCTGGCCCTCCCTCCCTGAGCCCGCCAGCCCAGCCCAGCCCAGCCCAGCCCAGCCCGGGGCTGCTGCAAACTCCGAGGGCAACCCTGGCACTGCCCCGCCTCGCCTGCCTTCTCAGGGACCCTTCCCATCCCCGGTACCCCCTTTGACAGCATCTGCCCGCCTCTGCCTCCTTTGGCCACACACATTCTCCTCCTACGTCCTTCCGGGTAGACATTCAAACCTGCCGCTGGCTGACAAACTGCTCCAAAGACAGTTCCATACACACGCATCCTGCTCCCCCACTTCTCTGCTTTCTCACCTCTCATTGTTTGTTTTCTGTTTTGTTTTGTTTTTGTTTTTGTTTTTTGGTTTTTTTCCAAAATATATTTTATTGATTTTTTTTTACAGAGAGGAAGGAAGAGGGACAGAGAGCTAGAAACGTCGATGAGAGAGAGACCAGCTGCCTCCTGCACACCCCCCACTGGGGATGTGCCCACAACCAATGTACATGCCCTTGACCGGAATCAAACCCGGGACCCTTCAGTCCGCAGGCCGACGCTCTATCCACTGAGCCAAACCGGTTTCGGCTGTTTTTTGTTTTAAATATCAATATATTTTATTGATTTTTTACAGAGAAGAAAGGAGAGGGATAGAGAGTTAGAAACATCAACGAGAGAGAGAGATATCAATCAGCTGCCTCCTGCACATCTCCTACTGGGGATGTGCCCGCAACCACGGTACATGCCCTTGGTTGACTGGAATCGAACCTGGGACCTTTCAGTCTGCAGGCTGACGCTCTATCCACTGAGCCAAACAGGCCTTGGCTCACCTCTCATTTGTGTTTGTTTTTTTCTAAACGTGTGGCTTCACTGAATTTCACTGTCTGGACGGGCGGTTGTATGGAGCCCTATCCTATTTTCCTGACCAAAACCACAAGGCCCTGGGACGCCTGGGCTGAAGGTCTGAGCACCCAGCGCAGGAAAGGTCAAGTCTGCCCCTGCGCACTCTTGACCAGGTTCTCTTCTTCCCTGTCCCTCCCTCCTTGGGCCTCCTGAGCCCATCTTACTCCCCAGCATAAGCCAAGTCTCACTCAGATTTCAAGAGCCTTAGCTACAAAATGTTTGTCCTAACCAGAGCTGTGCCCACACCAGCTCTCCCACACCCCCGTCCCTGTTACTAAGACTTTGATCTTCCACAGTCTTCTCCACCCAAAGGAAACAGGATTGCCCGCAGGGCAGCTGACGCCTGGGGTAGGAAAAGTCAAGAACGGCTCCAAAGAGCAGCACTAACCACTGAGATGCTTTGAGTGTTGCCTACTTAAAGATGCTTGAAGCATTGGAGGGAGATTGGCTTTCTATTCACAGTTTTAATTAAATGGCTCAAAGAGCTTGATCAAATTTACAATCAGAATTCTAGAGAAACTAGAGGCCTGATTCATGAAGATTCGTCAAGAGTGGGCCTTCCTTCCGCTGGCTGCCGGCACCATCTTCACTCTGGTCTGGAGCCACCTTTCTGCCTTCCCACGCTGCCCAGAGGCCTGGAGTGGCTGGGGCATTGCAGAAGCTTGTGTCATCGCCATGGCGAAGATGCAAGCATCCCGCCCCCAGCTGCTTAGTGCCTGTGTTTGCAAATTAACCTGCCATCTTTGTTGGGTTAATTTGCATACACACTCCTGATGGGCTGGTGGGTGTCCCGAAGGTATGGTCAATTTGCATCTTACTCTTTTATTAGTGTAGATAAATGTTGATTTATTAGATGCATATGAACTGTAGGAAAATGTCTGTGGTTCAATGCTTAAAGGAATGATATTATTTAATAAATTCATAGGAACTGATTAATAAAGCAGACTACCTTCCTCTCTCTCCCCATAGAGGACCCTCTGAGATGTGAATGGAAGGCAACAGCTCTGAAGTTTCCAAACTGTCCTTTCTCACTGGCTCCAGACCTGGGTCTTCTGCCCCAACCCCAGGTTTCAAATGCCCTTACAGTCCCCAGGACCACACCAAGTAAGTGTCTCCTCACCCCATTTCCTGCCCAGCTCCCTGCTGCCTGGGCTCTCTCCCCATCACCCAGGGGGGCATCAGGCCTTTCCCCCTCTCTCGCCTTCTCTTCCAAAGCACTGTTAATCCCTTTGCTTGTAGGTTCTCTCATCTATTCATAAATATTTTGGGGCCTCGGCAATGTTTCAGGCGCGGTGCGGGTGGAAGAGCAGGCACAGGCCCAGACTGCAAGGCGCAGGCAGAGCGGCAGCTGGGCCAGAGAGGCTGGGGAGGGGCCGCCGCAGGTGTGTGCAGTTGCAAGTGCTGCTGAGTGGGGTCTGGAAAGATTTAGTCTGAGGGCTGCCTGCCCGCTCTGGCCACGTGGAGAGGGCAGCATCCATGTGACGCTAAGAGGCGGGGCCAAGGATAGCGAAAAAATGGCACCAATGAGCGCTGACAACTCGTCCAGGACAGAGGGCTGAGCTGGAGGGGAGAGTACGGCAGGTGGAGTGAGCGCCTGTGATGTTAAGGGAGGGTTTTGCTTTGCTTTTTAAGACGAGAGAGACGTGAACACGTGTAAGTGGTGATGGGAAGGAGTGGTGACAATGATACCAGCGTATACAGCACTGTCCCAGCCACAGGTCTGTGCCTTATGCGTATGAACCCATGAGGCACCAGGCGGCTAAGTAATTACCCACAATCTCCCTGCTGGCACGTTAGAGAGCCTGTGGTTTGAGTTTATGTGCCCTGGCTCCAGGGCCCTGGCCATTAAGCACTGAGCAAGGTGTGTCACAGGAATGGGGCCTGCGGGTCATGGGAAGGAGCCCTGCCTGGTGAGCCACAGAGCGCAAACCACGTTTAGGTTTCTTAGGCTGACGATCCTGGATGAGGGGGGCTGGGGGGAGAGGGAGCGTTCTGAGCAGTGGAGGAAGGGCAAGCCACAGGAGGTAGGACGGGAGAATGCTGCCCCCAAAGAGGCTGAAATGATGGACAGAAGCTTGGGAGAGAAAACAGGCAGACCCCATGGGGTTAATAAGGAAGGGCTGAGCAGAAGAGCCACAGGTGGGCTGGGAACCACATGTGGGTGGAGAGGATTGAGCGGTGGCTGGAAGGATGGGAAGTGGTGGGCAAAGAGGGTTCCTCTGTCTTTTCAGCTGTCTCAGTAACTCTAGCTCCTCCCTCTTTACAGCGGCACACTACGCTCTTCCTGAAACAGTCTTTGGAAGTCATTGTTCGGAAGGAATCCCGTGGCAAGAGTGCTCACTTTTACCACTCCTCCTCCACACCGTCCTGGGAGTTCAAGGCAGTGCAGAGAAAGAAATACAGACATGATGTTGGAAAGGAAGAAATAAAACTGTCCTTATTTACAGATAACATGGTTTTCTATGTAGAATCAACCAAAAGAGCTATGAGAATTAACAAGAGAGTCCAGCAAAATTATAAGATTCAAGACCAGCACACAGAAATCCGCTGTCCTGCACCACGTAAGGACCATGTGGCCATGCACCAGCTAATACATTTGGTCAATGGCAGACAGCATATACAGTGGTGGTCCCACCTAGCTTATAACGGAGCTGAGAAATCCCTCCCACCTGGTGAGGTTATAGCCATTGTAACATCACAGAGCAACACATCACCACTCTCCACACTATTCAGTGCAGTAGCATGCTGTGTAGCTTGAAGCCTAGGAGTGATAAGCTGTACATACCATGTGTCCAAGGCGTGTAGTGGGCTAGACCACATAGGTTTGTGTAAGTGCACTCTTATGATGTTTGTACAACAACAACATTGCTTATGATGCATTTCTTATAGTTGAGTGATGCATGACTGTAATAGTAAACAAGTGGAAATGAGAAAAAAAATTAAGTTATAAAAGCAGGTCAGAGGAATGGTGGCATGAGAGATCCCCTTGGCCTTTACCCCTGAAATGTCAGCAAGTGAATCAACTATAATTCAACAAGGAATTCCCTGCTCAACACAAAAGCATGCCCGAGAGAACTGCGCATTGAAACATCTAAAGGTGGGCAACCAGGAAGACGTAAACGGAAGATGAGAAGGGAGGAGAGTGTAGATAGCCCACAGGTGCAGCCCTGTCGCCAGGAGCTCCTGGCGTGGCCTGGAGAGTGGAGGAAGCCGTGGGAGCAGGCACTTCCTTCAGACAGGAGGCGCAGAGAGTTGGGGGGGAGGGGCTGTCCGGCAGGGCAGGTGGAACTAACAGTGACTGAGCCAGCAGACATCTGACCCAGCCCAGGGCTCTACCATGCGGCTCTCCACTACTGGGCTGGGCGGTGGTGTTTCAGGCAAGAAATGCAACCACAGAGCCCTGCCACCACTTGGACTCCCAAAAGTCACCTCCAGAAGCCCAAGGAGCACACTGTCTGCAAACCAAGAGTTGTTGCAGTAGAACCAGTGTTTCCCTCTGTGACTGAACCAGGTGGGGTGCTTGGAGTAGGACCCATGGAGGTCAGGGGCTGCCGTTATAGTGAAGCTAAAACAAACCCCACCCCCAAGAAGGGCAGCTTTCCTGTTCTGGGGAAGCCAGGGAGGTCGAGTCTGAGAAGTCACAGAGGCAAATAAATCTTGCAATTCAGCACCACCTACTGGAAAATAGTAGAAAGACCTCTTCAGAGGAAGCTGCTATGTATGCCCATTAATATAGACAGATATACATGCCTACCGTGTTTCCCCGAAAATAAGACATCCTCCGAAAATAAGACCTAGCACATGGAAAGATAAGACATCCCCTGAAAATAAGACCTAGCGCAACTTTGGGAGAAAAAATTAATATAAGACACTGTCTTATTTTCGGGGAAACAGGGTAGACAAAGGAGAAGAGCAAAGATGATCAGAAAGAAAATGAAAAGTCCCCAGAAACCAAGCTGGTACACATAGAAATATGTGATATAAACAACAGATTTCAAGATTGTAGTTCTGAAAAATACTCAACAAGAAGCAAGAAAATATAGACAGGCAAGTCAATG